TTGTGCTTCTACCCTCTGCATTTCCTGTAGACTGAAGTGAGACCTAAAGGCTTGATGAGATTCAGGATCAATTATTAATTCACTTGTTTTGCTTTTTGGCAAGAGTACTTCATAGGTGTTGGTGTTTAGAGCACAGTGTCCTGTGAGGAGACATGTAATAACTGTTGCCTCACTCGTAGTCCTGCCGAGGTCTACTGGTGAGTACAGGTGGTGACCTGCCTGATCGTTTCATTTTAAAGTTTCTCAACCTTCTGCCCAGGGGTTTCCATCTCTTTATGACCATTGCCAGGGTCAGTTACATCTTATCAGGGAGCTGTTCATTATAATAGACGAATGTTGTAAAATTATCTAAAGAGGTCTGGGAGGGCAGCAGTTCAGGTGGTTTTCCAAGATTAAACACAAATACACGTGCGTTACGATGTCAAATCAAGAGGTGAGACAAAAGCATTTTTAAACTCCTAAAGCCATTGCTGGATCATCTGGGCATTGTCATCTGGTATCCACCATTGGCTGAGTAGCCTTACAGAAAGTCCATAGGCATCTTGTTTGCTCATCTGTAAACTGAGACTGGATGTTGAACCCCCTCAGACTCAACACCCCATGCCCCTTAGGTAACTGTGAGAACTTGGTTAACCTATTTGGTACAGAGAGATTTTAGAATAAAAGCGGCCTCGTTTATTAGTTGTCATTCCATAGAGATCATTTCAGTGCAAGCTGGTATAAATACATTAATTAAAACTAATTTAAATAGGCAAAATGTACAGGACCACAAAATCCAAACAGTAAAGTATAAAATACAAAATAAAAGCCCCTTCTCTTCACACCTTGACAGCCAAACTTAACCAGACTGACAGGGTGTGGTTTTTTTCCTTCAATTTTTTAATTAAAATTTTTATTCTGAGGTAATCACAGATCACATGCAGTTATAAGAAATAATGCAGAGAGGCGGTGTGTACCCTTTACCTAGTTTCCCCTGCGATAACATCACACCAAACTGCACTGTAATGTTACAACCACAGTATTGATGTTGATACACTACGTATGGAACACAAACTGATAGATTTTTAAATAGCTCTTGTCATCTTCTTTGTCAGTGGTTCTTGGTTTGAGTTAGGCCCCAGGTGAAGCTGCAAGAATGTTAGGATGAGCTCATGGGAATCGTGCTCTCTGTTGTTTTCATCTGCATGCATCTTAGTCAATACATGATACTCTCCCTCGAAGTTTTTCATTTCCCCTTTGGCATATTTCTACTTCTTTGTGTCCTCGGTTTTAGTGAGGTATAATTGAGGTACGATATTGTGTAAGTTTAAGTCTGCAGTGCATTGGTTTTATACATTTATGTATTTCAAAGTTATTTACCACCGTAGCATAGCATCCTCTGACACCACATCACCTTGCATAATACTGTTCCCTTTTTGTGGTGAGAACATTCAAGAGCAGCTCTCTTAGCAACTTCCAATTATCTTATATAATGTTGTTAAATATATGTAGTCCTTTGAAGTCATCAAAACTGTAGAAAAACAATAGGTTGAAAATTGCTGATGTCTTTAATACCATGGAATCAATTTATTATATTAGTGCTTGCCCCGGAAAACTATATCGTCTTCCATAGGCAGGCGGGAAATTGCAACCTCTGATGACAGTTTTCTTTTTAATAAATTAGGACTTAGCAGCTCCTTTCAGGTTTTTTGGCAGACCAAAGACCTAGTTTCATTCTGATAGTTGATGGAAAAGGGAAACTTTTCCAGGAAGGCACAGCTACCCCGCATAAAGTAATGATGGGAGTGCGGAAGCCTTAAACTTGCTCACACTCTGCCGGTGTCACTGGACGGAATGGGTTTCCCCTTGGGCTTGAGAGTAGAAGGCATCGGAAAGAAGTGTGATTGCAGGCTTGCATAACAGACACCCTGGGATTGTCCTTTGTCATGACTTGTCACTTAAATGAAATTTAGAATAAAGTAATCATGTGTAGGCTGATTCCCATGTAATTGATCCACATTTTATATTTAGCTGTGTTTTCTAGGAAAAAGACTTCACTTTCTCTTCTCTTACAAAAGCAGAATTTCATGGTATTAAGAAAAGAGGCATGTAAGTGACCAGCTGGTATGCTGGTGGCTTAGAGAGAGTTAGTTGTGTGTATATTTATATTCATAATTGGACACTGGTTACCCTAGTGTCGTTTTATCAGAGCACTCAAAACCAGTGCTTCCTAAGGTGGGACAAGTCATAGTGATGAGGGACCAGGAGCTGGTGGGGAGCTAGGGCCTCTGTCTCCTTTAAAGGGGCAGCCACCCCCTTTAACGGGCATCACTAGCCCTGTGAGAATGCCTGCTGGTATGGTTGCCATGTTTTATAGTTTCCATGAGATATTGTGAATTGAGTCTGTTTTTTACAAAATTTAAATAATTCAAATTTTAAATCAAAACCCTGTGCACTTTGTGCTTCTGTACCATATGCTTTGCTCTAGTATAATTTCCATTTAATTCTCAACAATTTTATCCTTCCTGCCAGAGAGCCAAGACACATAGCTGTCACCTCAAACTTAATGACCAAACTTACAACCTTAGTCCCCAGACCTGCTTGCCTTCTGGGCTTCCCTTGCTGTCATATTAACTTCATTACTGGACTCAAAATCTCAATGTTTTTTTTTCCTCCCCTCTTATCTTGTCTTTCCCACTATAATTAGTCAAAACCCGAGTCTTGATTTTTTTTCTTGTGAACTTTCCCGTTTTTCTTTCCCTTCCCAACCCAGCCACCCCATTCCTCGCCCTCCTACTGCTCTTCCGATGCAGACTCTCCTGTGTGCTGGTTCCTGTGGCAAATCTTTTTGAAATACCTCTTTCCTTATCTCCCTCCTCAAGCCCTCTGTGGGCCCCTATGTCCTACTGTATAAATTCCACAGCTGCCTCTGCCCGGACCTCCGGGTTTCAGAGTGGTTTTATCTTAGCTGTCTATCTGCATTCCCTGCTGGTACTCTGTAACACATTGCTTCCTGAGGTCAACTCTCCCCCAGTCCAAACTCCCTGCTTGGAATCTTGTGGGAGTTTCTGCATAATATGTGGGTCCTCCTGCTGATTTGGGTTAGATTCTGCAGTTCTCCCCAACTCCTTATTTTGACGAGGCCTCCATCATCTTTTGGGCTGCAAGCCTCAGGGCAGGAAGAGGGTAGAATAAAGGAAGACCCCCGGTGAATCTTCAGCAGTGCATAGGCTGGAGAAGGAAGAAGGCCTCCCTGGGCTTCAGATTCCCAGGATACCCACGTTGGGGCTTCTCGGTAGGAAGCTTCGCGAGACCGAGGCCGTCTTTTACCACTGCAGGGAGTTCCTTCCCCAGCAGATTTCTGCTTTCTCTCCCTTTAGCAGAAGGCAGAACTTCTGGCTTTGTTTCGGTGAAGCTGAACTAACCGCATACATTTTGTAATTCGAATGGTGTTTGCTCCTTAACCTCGAAGCCCAGCCAGTTGTTCCTGCTGTTAGGTATCTGAGTGATTAACTTGGTCACTTTAATTTATGGAGCAACTTATTGGTCAATTGATTAACTTCAGTATTGAGAAAAGCCTTAAGAGAATTTCTTGTTTTAGTGAAGTAGTGATAATTCACTGAAATAGATCCTCTTTTGCCTCTTTGGCACTTTCAAGCTCCTGATATGGTACAGGGCAGTTATTATTATAGTTATCTCAACATATGACTTTCTCCCATCTGACTCTGAGCAGACTCAGCCATTGCTGCATTCGTGTGTCTCCAGCCAATGCTATGTCTGGTGTGTGGCAAGCACTTAATACAGTAGATCCTTGACGCTAATGATACATCCTGAGTCTATCAGGAACCTTCAAGTCTGTGACTGGTATTAACTGAGATATGAATGTGGAATGATTGTCAGTCCCCAGCTGAACGATCTGCTCTTAAACAAAGTCCTCTCAGCATAAGCCTCAGATTCTACCAGGAGCATTTTGCATATATTATCTCATTTAATCGGGACAGTAACCCCTGAAGTGAGTAATAGTCTTTTCCCCACTGCAGATTGTTTCATGGCGTTGGCTTGCTAATAGACAAAACCACAAATGGTGACTCTGTGAATGCCAAGGGCCTACTGTGCAGGTATGGGTGGGTAGATGGATTGATGATTATATTACCAGGAAGAGGGGAATAAAAGTTACCTTGGTTCTTAGTCATCCAAAAAAAAAAAAAAGAATTTCTAATGAGAGACAGAGAGCGTGATATAAACAGAAGATTTTATTAGTGAAGTAAAAGGTAGTAAAATATAGTCCACGCCCGAGGCCTGGGGGTGGGCCAATCCGGGAGAGGAAAAATGGTGCCACTCCTTTCTTTTTTTCTGTTTCTATAACCTAGTTTAGGGGGTGTTTTTGTGATTGACTATTTGATTGACAGCTTATGTTCCTTGTATCAGGCATGCCCGTCTCTTTTACACAGGTTCTTACCCATGATGCACACAGAGAAGCCTGTGGGAGGGGGCTCAAACTGCGGTGTTAATTGCATTATAATAAGCACTGGGTCAAGTTAAGCTGAGTCCTTCTCTCTGCTGTGCAGCCACAGCGTTAGATTCTAGCCGGCTTCTTTGCTGGCCTTCATTTAGAGAAAGTAAAAGTTTTTGGATCCCCTTATCCTGAGCACAGGGGTACTGCTATTTTCTGGGTTGCTCCCTCCCCCTTCCTCTCCCCTTGCCTGGTGCTCATGTCTAACTAATTACCTAACAATTAGAAAAAGTAATTTGATTAGATGATGTATTTGCAAAGGGTTTTTCATGCTAATACATGAAACATTTTGACCAACAATGTTCAGAAGATTAAACTGAGAAACAGGAGATGAAATAACCTGGAATAATAGATACTATTTAATAATTCAGTCTTTTTGTTTGTTTTTTAGCTTTTCTCTTTCTCCATAGAAGGAATAAAATACATAAGGTGAAGATTATACTGGACTTGCTCAATCCTTAGTAAATATTAATTTCACTTACTTTTTGTACCTTTTTTTCTTTAACAGGTGATGGCTGTGGGCACATAGTGACCTACGAGGACAGTGGCACAGTGACATCTAAGAATTATCCAGGGACTTACCCCAATCACACTGTTTGTGAAAAGATGATCACAGTACCGAAGGGGAAGAGATTGATTCTCAGGTTGGGAGATTTGGATATTGAATCCCAGACCTGTGCTTCTGGCTACCTTCTCTTCACTAGCTCTTCTGATCAGTATGGTAAGAAAAAAGATCTAGGTATCTGTGGGTGCGGGAAAGTTTGAGATGTGGGGAGGAGGACAAATGGTGTGTTCACTAGTGTTACAGCCTGGGAAGATCCGAAGAGCCACTTGCTCTTTGGAGACTCTCAGGGTAGCTCACGTGGATACCCTGGCGTCCTAACCTGCAACAAAGACATCTGAGATGTTAGTGTTAGGTTTACATGGGTTTCAGGAGCTTTGTTTGAGTTTATATCTTGCCAGGGAGAGAACTGGGGATGTATGGCATTTGGCTAAAGCACCTACAGCTCATTCATTCACGTGACAAATAGTTATTGAACAGTGATCATGTGTTCAGGTACTGTGTGAAGGACCAGGTGGGATATGGCTGTGAAAAAACAAAGTTCCTCCTTCCATGGAGCTTACGCTGGTGGAGAGGCAGGTGGAAAATAAACAAATGCATCTATAATATGAGAGGTAGTGAGAAAGAAAGATAAGGAATAAGAAAAAAGAATCTTCCTAAGGTGATACCAAGTCCGATTTTGAGTGTGTTTGTGCTACTTTGAATGGGGTGGTCGGGAAGGCATCTCCCATGAAGGGACATTGAGCAGAGACCTGGATGGAGTGAGTGAAGGGACCCTACACACACGTTTGGGGTTAGTTTTCTGGGCTACGTACAAAGGATAGTTTCCAAAGTAACCTTTTTGTGCTTTGGGGTGTGCAGTTAGCGTGATGGAGTCGGAAATCACCATTGTCAGTGACCCTGCAATCCTTAGCCCAAGGAAACAGCTTGGGTTTAGACAATTTGAAAACACAGACAGAATCTTATAAACAGGTTCTTTTGAGATTCAAGATTTTCTGAAATTCTCTGTACAACTCCAAAGATGATACAGGTTTTAAGCAAAACCCTGTCCACCTGCTGGTTCTATGGGCCATTTCTCTCAAACACACAGCTTTCAAGGCTGTCTTTACCTTTGCACCCAGAGATTCCTCACTCCTCCCAGCGTGGTAACCCAGACCAGCCCTGAGACTGTCCAGAGGTCTAAACTCACCTAGCCCCCACAGAGAAAAAACCTAAGCTTTTTCATCCTTGGGAATATTATCTCTATTTTAATGATGGTTGAATTACTCTGACAGAGGAAAGATGATTGATTTCATATAATTAGTTGCAACTTTTTAAACTCCAATTTGACTCAACTGGGAAACTTGAGAATTTCAGGGATGCTTTCAGTCTCTGGGAACACTTACTGTTCAGTGAACTCGGGTTAATGAAATGTGTGTGAATTTATGGAAACCGTCTTTAGGGAATCCCTCACTAGCCAGGAAATGTCGTTCCCATTCAGAGGACAGTGTCGAGTGTCAGAGCTCTAGTGTAAAAGGCGAGGGAGAGTGCGGCAGGGTCAGAAATGGCTTTTCCACCCTGGTCTCCCTGGGGAAGCATCTACCTTCCCGGAAGAGGGGCAATTAATTCCACTTGCTGACAGAGCAGCAGAGTGGTCCTCGCTGCTGCTTTGGGTCTGTCTCAGCTCAGAGGCTGAGGTGAGAAGAACTGGAGAGGAGAGCAAATTGTCCTGAAATGGGATTGGAGGATGGATGTGGCTTCCCCACACCCAGGCATTTGTTCCATCATCTGTGATGTACACTCACAAATGTACAAAAGGGAGGCAAAGCTTGGGATTAACTCCATTTGGAGAGCTGGGTTACAATTTGATTGTGGTCAGCCTCAGGGCATTTTCTTCCACATTTCTAGCTTCTTGAATTTTTAAGATTTAGACTCTTCATTAGGAAATGAGGAATGAATTGCATTTTTCTTCGGTAAAGCCCAGTAAGTTCATTTTTCTTTTAAAGTTTTTTTTCTACGTAGTTATGTTTGTCTTTTAAAACAAAATATGTGCTCATTATAGAAATAAATATATTCATTGCATGATAGGCACATGCTTGGCCCTTACATAGATTTTCTGGAATCTTTACATCTACCCTACAAGGTAAATATGACTAACTCCTTTTTACAAATAGGGAAACTGAGGTACAGTGAGTTTTTTGGGTTTATTTGTGTGTTTTAAAGTAAGATACTGACGATCACACAGCCGGTTAAGGACTGAAAGGAAAATTCATATCTGTGTCTTTGTGGCTCCAAGACATCTGTTTGCAGATGTCTTCTCCTCTCCCAGCCCCAGCACCCGAAGAAAACCACAGTGCATTATTGCCCATCCCGGGTGGATCAACCCAGTATTAACACTGTAGAGCAATTTTGCCTAAACCTCAGATGTAGTTAATATTTTGGATTGGAGATGTTCTTAAGATAAAATATTTAATGATGCTCAGAATTTCTTTCTTTTGAGGCTACTTTAAAGCTTCCCTGATCAGTCATGTTAAGGCAAATCCAACAGACAAGAAGAAGAGAAATTAGCAATAAATGGAAAACACGGAAAGGAAATTAGAATATTTCAATCCTGTAAGCTTATTTTAAAAGAACTAAAGAGTTTAAGGCCACATATAGCAGGTGTACACGTGCATATGCCTGTATGCTGCATGTATATGTTTGTGTCTTTTGTGGTTTTAAAGAGCATTCTGGGAGGAGCCACTTATTTATTTGTGGACTTACAATATTTAATCTAGTGACTTGAATGGAGTAGATACTCCGTGAATAAGTGACTTTAAAAGTGAATTGACAAGTTCAGTGGAAAGGAACCATTTAAGTAAAACGTATAATACTTGGAATATTAAACCGCTAAAACTGCTATTTGTTGAAAGGACTGTTAACATGGAAAGCCGCTTATGACAAAGTGTTGAATAAAGTATGAATACACAGTAATGTTACAATAACAGGAAAAACCCTCTGAATAAAGTAAGATAGAACATAACTGGAGCAAACTGTTAAAAGGAGGACGTTAGAAGGTTCAGCTGTGGATATTGTTATGACTTCTCTCTGCTGTCGATTTTTTTCCTTAGTAAACATATGTTTCTTAGGAAAAAACAAGCAGATTTTCTTTGCCCAGGAACACTGACTTTAGACCTATATTTTAATTTAGTTACAGTATCCCCCCGGTCAGTGTGAACTTCCTGGAGGAGTGCAGGCATCTGCGGAAGAGGAGATGAAGCAGAAGAGCTTTGTTTTCTTGTGCGAGCTCTGAGCTCAGGGAGCGGGCATTCCTGTGGGGCTATTGCCCAGCTCCCTGGAGGGTGGGAGGCCCTCTGCAGCTAGTGTGGCCGCAGGACTGTGATGGAGGGCCCTGGTGTCAGGGCAGGGTCGCGGGGATTCGCAGCGCTGTGGCCCGGGACAGTGAGGGGGGTGGGGGTCCCCACTGAAGTGCCCCTTGGGGGAACATATGTTCTGGAATCCCTCCTGAAATTCGAGTGTACAGGGCTCTAGCACACAGTGACACGTGTGGCTGAAAAGCTGAATAGTTTCAGTTTATCCAGCTCAGGTTGTTTTTTTATTTTTTTAATTAATTGCATTGTCAAGAGATTTTAAGACCCAACACTATCAGGCTTTTAAATGAGGAGTTAATGTTTTGAAAAAGAATTATGTTTCTGGCATTAGTGTTTGGAAGCTCAGCCAAGAGTGGACTACTTGGAATGTGAGCACGTTAGCTACTGTGAATATGCTGAAGTTGTACAGTTTTAATTGTGATGCAGTTCGTAATGGTTCACTGCCCCCTACGATTTTGTTTTAAATGTTTGGTTCATACACTTTGGATGCTTTCATAATCCACATTCATGGTAGCAGAGTGCCCTGTGAACAATTGTGACCCACACCAGCTTTCACAGTAATCAAGCAAAATATGCACTTGATCTCATTGATGCTGAAAGGCCGGATACAGATCAGATGGAGTTACTATCCTTCTGTCTGTCACGTATTATACTCAGGACTGATATTTCAGATTCAAATATCAATTAGAAGAGTGTTTTAATGGATGACACTGACACTGACTCTCCCTTTCAAAATATCCTGGAAATAGACAGGATACAGCAAAGTTGATTAAGTGTATCACTCTTACTTTAGAAAATTTGTTGTTTAAGAACAAAACACATTTTAAAAGATATTTTTAAACACAAACTTTTAAACTTATTAAAATAAAACATATATATTGACTTTCTTTTGAAAAATATTTTTGTTATTTGCTTATTGGGGGGATAAGGTTTATTTATTTAATTATTTTTCAGCGGAGGTATGGGGATTGAACCCAGGACCTTGTGCATGCTAGCAGGCACTCTACCATGGAGCTACTCCACCCCCCCACCCCATACTGACTTTCAAGATCTTGTGTATCTATTTCTTATGGAAGGATCTTTCTGATTTCCCCCCCTCTCCTTTCACCAGTCTCCATTCCTTCCGGGCCATCCAAGGTTATCTTGCTAAATACTGCTGTAATAATTTCTTTGTTTCCTTATTTCAGAAATTGTCAGTTGTACCCCCACTGCCTACAGATACTCGTTAGCACGGCCCTCTTCCCCACCCACATTTCCAGCCGCATCGCTGCATCTCCTCCTCTCTGTGCCTTCTCCTAAACACATTTGATGATGTTATTCCTTCCACGTGTCCCTCCCTCTCTTTCCTCCCTCGCTTTTCTCCCCCTACACACACACACACACACACACACACACACACACACAACACACACACACACACACACACACACACACACACACAGAAAAGGCAAACCAAATCCAATGCTCTTACTCTAGAACCTCCTCCGATGTCCATCAGGTTCAGTCACTTCTCCTTTTGGGCTCATGTTGTTTTTCTAAGCCTTTAGTAGAGCACCTATCTCAGGCTGAGATCATTATTTTAGCTTCTGTACCAGATGGGAGGTTCCTGAGCAAGGAACTGCATTTATTCATCTTTTGAGTAGCCCCTACTGCTTAGCATAGTCTTATACATAGATTCTCCATCAGTGTTTAATGAATCTGGCTGCATGTAGCTTGACTTTGGCAAGCATTATATATTTAAAAATCTATTACACATTTAAAAAGATAGAGTGTCTTTAGTCACACTGCAGGAAGAGTCACAGTAAGATT